GGGTGCGGGGGGCGGTAAAGGCGGCTTGCACACGGAAGAGCTCTCGTTAGGTGCCTGTCAAACTGCCCCCTGCCTCGGGTGCGACTGAGCCGTGTGACGGCACCTCTCCTCTGTGCAGACGCGCTGCTGCGCAGGTGGGTGAAGGTGTCGTGACAGGTGCTGACATGACAGACGAGCCACCTGCTCGGTCAGGAAGCCCCGGACGGTGGCAGGGGGTCGCTGCTTGGCAGATCTCCTTTCTTCAGCAAAGCTGCAAAGCGTTTTACAGTGATGAACGTAAGAGATTCAAAAAAGGATCGTAAGGTGATGGAGGTCTTGGAGGGTCTCTACTCCGACGTCCTGCTCAGAGCAGGGCCGGCTCTGAGGTCACGCCAGGTGGCGCAGGGCTTTATCCCGTGAGGTCTTGAAAGCCTTTGAGGATGGAGACCGCATGCGCTCTTTGGGCAGCTCGTTCCTCAGTTTGACTGTCCTCACGGTGAAGAAGTTTCTCCTTGTGTCCAGTACAGACCTCCCTTGTTTCAGCGTGTGCCCACTGTGTTTCATCCTCCCACCACGCACCCCTGTTGAAAGCTTGTAAAAACGTCTCCTTGGAATGCTTATGTTACATGTGTTCTCTGAAATTGAGGTAAAAGAGAAAAGACGGTCTGTTTTAGCTGTACTCTGCCAAATTTCCAGGTCTGTTGCATGTATGTAAATATATCCATGTTTTCAGCAAGCCTTACTGTGTAATCGCAGTTTCATCTGTGTCAGTGGGGCCGCAAGAAAAGCTACTAATAGATTGACCAGACACAATATAATGACATCAGTGAATTGAGATATACCTGTAAATGACATGGGAATTATTCAGCCTTATGCAGCAGGTAACAACTGTGTTTTTTCGAATAAGAAAGTATACAGTAATATAGAACAAAGAAGGTTATAGCTTTTTGTTCTGCTTAAAACAGTTGCCTCAGAAAAAATATGTATTTCAACAGGGTGAAATTCTCAAACCAAGCATGTGGGTGATGAAGACAAGGTGTATGAAAACTTAGTGTTTCAAATGGGAAAAAAAACCTTAATGTCTTCTGTGTAATTATATACAACTTTGCTCATTAATGTCTTTCCTAATTGTTTACATTTGGAATATATTTTTGAGAGCTGAGGAGCATGACGTGTAACACCTCCGTTGTACCTGTTCCTACAGCTATTTGTTTCTTTCCACACCTTAGATTTGGCATAATCAACACCACAGGAAGAAAATGACCCACTGGTTTCATCGCAACCCTTTGAAGGCTACAGCTCCCGTTTCATTCAATTTTTATGGGGTAGCTAGCACTCCAGCTGCAACGAAGGTTTGCAAGTAAGCGTACTTCCGATTAAATTCACTCTGTCTCTCACAGTTTGGAGGACATCCTTAAAAGTAACGGTTACTCTTCAATTTTTGTTCTGAAGATGACTAGAAACGTGTAGGCTGGGAGACAATAAGACACCGATAACACTGAACATTTAGTGACAAAGAATGAATTATCCAGTTTTCAAGTCTCTGAGTGTATAGCAAGGCCTATTATAATAATGCAGAGGCAAAAGACTAAACATTTCATTGTCTTTCTGATGGCTGTGCATTCTTCTGCAAAAGATTACTTAAAGTAATTTCCATAAGCGAATAAGGCACGAGTGTTCTATTGTAGATAGGAATATAATGAAAAGAGATCTCAGCTTATTCTGCAGATCTATTCTTATCTCTTCATATGCTCATCCTGTCCTAATGTTGAAGAATGTTCCTGCTTGTTATTTCTCTGCCCTCCCCCTACACCCGACCTCTTGGTAGATAAAGGCATAGTTATTTTAGTTTGTGTTAGAACAATAGATTGATAATGAGTACTGATTATCCATTGCTGTCTGTCCAAAATGGATTGTACTTTAAACTAAAGAGTCAGTCGTATGTATCCAAATGAGAAAGAAAGATTATTCTGTATTTATTGGCATCTTCCTCATAAAGTACCTTTCCTTGCCTTCAGATAGCTAAATCGAATGCTTAGGTTCACTTTCTTAGCCAAAAGGGTGGTGGTATACATGGGTGGGTACTTTCTTAATAGTACGTTTTTGGGTAGAATTTCTTAAGGGTTTGTTTTTTTTTTTCCCCCCTTCATACAGTGATTTGAGGTTATCCCGAACACGGCTATTGGAGCTGTTTACAGACTCGAGCTGTAATCCAGAAATTATGAAGAATGCAACTGACTTGTACTTCTCACTCTTGCAAGGTAGGAACATCTATTAGCAATACTGCTAATACATCAAGACCTATGTAATTTGAGTTTTAATGGCACTTCTCAGAATGTGTATTGTGCTAATCTTCTGTAAAGAAGCTTTGCACTTCTCAGGAAGGAGAATATCTTCATAGAATCATAGAATCATAGAATCATTGAGGTTGGAAAAGACCTCTAAGATCGAGTCCAACCATTGACCCAACACCACCACCCACTAAACCATGTCCCTAAGCGCCTCATCTACGCGTCTTTTAAATACCTCCAGGGATGGGGACTCCACCACTTCCCTGGGCAGCCTGTTCCAATGTTTCACCACTCTTTCAGTAAAGAAATTTTTCCTCACATCCAATCTAAACCTCCCCTGGCACAACTTGAGGAACTTCCTGGGTTCTCTGCTTGATACCAGTCATGGGTGCTCGCCAGGCCCTTTCTACAAGTTTCAGTGTCCTTTGTGACCCTGCCAGTACTAAGTGTTGGCAATCCTGTCCTTTTGCTTTTAACCTCATTCTGCTTCCTGCTGGAGGAGAAAATGTTTCTTTGTCTCTTAGATTGTGGTGATTTGCTCCCTAAGTATGTAAATTGAGTCTATTAATTAGTTGATAGGAGTCGCTCTTCGGTGTAAACTTCTGGTTTGTCTAATGCCAGATAACAGACTGGTTGCAAGTTTACACTTCTGCTGCTGCTTGTCTTAGGTGTATATGTAAGTGCTCATTAGCATAGTATCTACATTTTCAGTAGATGGTCACCTATGATGACGCGTTCCCTTGAAACCTTCCTTCTGCAAGTATTCCGATAACTCTTTCTTAGCAGTCAAGTGCTCAGACAAGTTTCTTAGGACTGAGTTTTCAGGAATCAGCTGATTCATGGAAACTGTGATCTTTCAGTCTACGGGAAGTGAAGTGGTCTAAGTTGGTGTAGTTCCCTCAGTCCCTGGGAGGGTGTAAGCTAATGGGACATTCTAGATAAAGGTAAGATAACAGTCCATGTGGCTGCAGATAAGATCTGGAGAGTTTCTTCAGGGAAGCATCACGCTTGGTCACTAAAATCTGCATGTGAAAGGAACAAGTATTTTCTGTCTTTCAAAACATGTGACAGCACCTAGAGCTATAGCCACAATAGCTGCTGTTGCAAGTCTTGAGTTCTTGAAGTCTGTAAGACCTGATCAGACCGAGGCCCGTCTTACTCCTCCCTAAAAAATTCCTTGGGCCTGCATATGGTAGCATTTGAACATCCCATAGCATGAGCTTCATCCCACTGACTGCTGCTTTCTGGCCTGCTGGACATAAAGAACCAAGTTCCTGTAGCCCTGGAGACAAAAGAGATGATGACTAGGTGAGTCCATTCTTACAAGCCCTTTTCCCTCTCCCTGTTGACCAGGCAGCTTTTCCTGGAATTTCCCAATTGCCACTATGGTGGCAGGGACAGTCATTCACTCACCTCGAGCAGCCCCAGCTGTCCCATACCTGGGTCAGTCCAACTCCCAACTAGTCGCCATACAGGACATGCAGATATCTGCAAGTTTTTCCTTGAGCAGTCAAGACTCACAGGGTTGAATTGGTAACCTGCTGGGCAAGGAGTTTCTTGTAGTAGTCAGTTTGGTTTTCTCCACGTCTTGTTCTCAAGATACTGAGGAATAAAAGCCTCGGGAAGTAACACAGGTTTTCGAGTGGTACAGCAAGATACGTTCCTTTATCTATACCCATATTCTCATTGATCCCTATTCCTTCATTACCTGTTTCTTACTTTGAGATTGCCTATTGGTACGTTTTTTTATTCTATAGGTTTTATCCTTTCACTGCATGACTCTTCCCAAGAATGCAAGTTGAGATACATTCAGAATTTCAAGTGGACAGACACTTTACAAGGACAAGTTCCAAGGTATGTATGCTTTTATGATTACAGGGTATGGAGCTTTTTTCTTCTGGTCTGTTATGTATATGCACATGTGCCAGCGCAGGTGTGAAGGAAAACTTAAAAGTGTAGCAAAATGTTGAACATAAAGCAGTTTCCAAAAACTTGTTGCTTTGCGGTTTTGATAATTGCCGTACTGTATTAGGTGTTCTGAAGCATGTGCTGCCTTTACGTAAGGGCGTGATAACGCATGATAATGGTAGAAGGATCCATTGCATCTTAGTTGATCTACAAACTATATCTACCGTTGGCTAGAGCAGTACAAAGAACAACTTTGAGAGTATTGGTGAATTGTACATGATAACATAGATTACTGCAGTTCAAAAGTTTTTCATTTAGCACTATTGGCTGACCGGTATCTTCTGACTTTTTTGAAGTACAAATGATTTTGCTCTTGTCCTCTGAAGCTCCTAGTGCATGTACTCCTGGTACAAACAAACAAAGCTTCTGTTTTAAGTAGGAATATAGATCTGTAACCTTCTGGATTATTCGGTCGTCTCTTGCTGTTGTAGGTAATTGTGTTGTATAACCATGCTTACAAATTTGTCAAGCTTTATCTAGAAGAAGTGCTCGACTTCCTCAAAGCATTTATTCCCCTTGAAAGACAATCTGTTGATTAGGACTCTCTTCTGATGATTTTCTCATGGTCATACACACTTGTTCTTGTGCCAACATTATTCTTCCCACTCCCACACCTTTCTTTTTAAAGATTACTACTTCCTAAGCTATACTGAGCTTGTGATTGCAAGTTCAGTCTTTTCAAAGACCATGTTTTTAGCTTCTGAAATTTCCTGCTATTTGCACATGCCGTTTGACTGCAGTTACATAAATACTTGGAATAACATTCACTTGAGGGAGATGTAATACACTCTGACTTATTAACTTAGCAGCTACAACTTTAAAGTAGACATTCCAGAGCAAGGCTTTCCACAAAATGTGCAATTTAAAAAAAAAAAAAAGATGGAAAAATGTCAGCCACACCCAAAGCTAAACAAATCTCAAGTTACTGTTTTAAAATAAAAGTTCCCAAATGGGAAGGGTAGGCATCTGAATGTGGGAAATTGTAATTATGAGCTCTTAAAGGGAGTAAGTAAAAATTGAAGTCTCTTTTAGGCAGTTCAGCAAGTAGGAGGTTCTGAATTGGAAATTGTTGACTTCTTAAATGAAAAATATTTTATGGAGAGAAATGTCGACTTATGCTCTGTGAACTATTAGCAGAGAGCGCTTGTCAGAACAAACCGGAAAGCATTAAATTGTTTGGGGGGGTTTTGTCTGTCTGTCTTTAGTGCCCAGCAGGATGCAGTGTTTGAACTGGTTTCCATGGGATTTAATGTAGCTCTGTGGTACACAAAATATGCATCAAGACTCGCTGGAAAAGAAGAGTAA